AACCGGGATAATTCACTTTTTAGCAGTATAAATGTTATCGAAAATAGACGAGCTTTTGGATATTCAAAAACAAGGAAAAAAAAGAACTGTTAAGCTGAATCAACTAGCATTTTCCATTGCTTTCAAACTGTCAGAGTCGTTTTTTTTCCACTGTCTTTATTATTTCGTCATTCGGGCATCCTACACCATTTTCCACTATATTTATAGTGTAAAACTAAGAAAAGAGTTTTAATATTTCTTAAACAAAAATGAATAATTTTTTTCTTTGCTCTTTCCAATAACACTAAATTAGCACACTAAAAAAGCTATACGACTCTCGTTTGAAATTGCAAACAAATGCAGAAAGTGCTTTATTTTTAGCACTTTTTTTGGATTATAATCATGAAAACAGCCAAATGTAGACTAATTTTTTTGCTGAAACTCATCAGATACAGCAGCTGTGATTGGAAGATTATAGTGTGAATACAAATTTTGACTGATCAGTAAATTTTATTTGGTTTAAAAAAAAAAAAAATCTCAGTTTTATCCTTTGCTATTTTCGTTTCCCAATCAACTAAACCAACGAAGGTTATCATTTATCAGAAAAAAATTTACTATTCTTTTCTCATCTTTTTTTTCTCCTCCCCTCTTTTCTAACCTCTTAAACAAAAAACTTTTATTTGCTAATATTACCCAGGAATTCCGTAACAAGAAAAGCACTAATTACCAGATGTTAAAAGTTTTTAAAAACATTAAAAGTTGGGAAGAAAAATTTACGAAAAAGAAAAAAATAATGTGTAATTTCTGTTTTAAAATCAATAGAATACAAGAATATCCAATAGATCTGTTTTTTTTCCCCCACTTGTTTTCCTCCTCTTCTTTAAAGTCTATCTTATACTATTTCTATGACTACTTCAATGGTCACTACCATTAATACCACTGTTACTATTACTGCTGCAAATTATTTGTCTTCTTTGTCATGTTTTCTATTATACAGAATAAGTGTTTCAAATTGTTTGTGATCATGCACTATGCTCTTCCTAATTTATTTATTTTTATTTCATTCAAAATTACATTACAATTTGTAGTGGCAGCAAAACCAGCAACACAGAGGAAAAGAACTGCTAAAATTGTGCTAAAATTTTTTTGAAACAATTTTTTTATTGGTTTATTTGTTCAGGGAAGCTGCTGAAGAACAGTACAAACAACAACTGGGTGCTGGTCCAGAAGTACCAATTGGTAGTACTGATAGACACTTTGATCCAGAAAAATCTGAAACTTTGAAAGCTATAAATGCCGGTGAAGATGATAGTTTTGGGAAAACATTTTTTGAAAAAATTGCACAAGCCGAAGCTCCCCGAATACCAATAGAACAAGTAATGTTTCTTCTTCTTCACCAAAATTGTACAACAAATTTTTGGCGGTTGAAAAAACTGCTCAATAAAAAATATATATATATCACCATATTTTGC